TACTTTGTGGACGAGCCTCGTATATTAATAAGGTCAAACCTACTAAAATGGTAAATGGCACCATAAGAGATTTAATCACCACCACGTGAATCATCAGCATACTTTTTAGACTTAAAACCTACATTTAAATATACGTCTAATGGTTACTGCAGAAATCGGTTGATTTGTAAACAATTTGTATTCTTAAGGTACCGGAGCCAAAGTTACAAAGCGTTATCCCCACATCAAGTGGTTCAATGCGTCGTTGAATCTCCCTAAGCGTGAGTCCGCCGGCGGCTCACGCGGTATAGAAATTTTTCTTGAGATTTCATATCGAGGTCAGAGTCGGAGTCGGTACATTTTTACCCACTCCGACTCCACCAAAACTTTCTTCCGACTCCACATCCCTGACCTTAAAAATACGAAAACGTGGTGCTTTGTTAAAATATTTGATTCCAAGTATTTTTCATTTCTGTGTCCGAAATTAACCTATCTATAAGAACACTTGAATAGATATGAGATAAGTAATTATAATTATGCGGAAATGTTTACATCTTGTAATATTTTTAAACAAAACCAAACACGGATATTATATATTTTGCACGTTTTTATTGTGTCACATGAAAGGAGAAAGAACGTGTGATTTGTGTGCCAGAAAAACGCCTCAGGTTTAATTCTTCATCCCGCCACCTGACTTTGTCCTTTTCCTGCCTCCGAAAGGGATAGTAGCTGCATGCTAACCGCTCCTTGTGTCGTATTTGCATGATGGAATATTAGGTAAGATAGACAAAAACTGAATCCAAGTTATTACATTGAACTGAATGTGAAAGTTTTGTGGGAATAACAAGAAATACACAGTGTTTTGATGGGCGCCTTCAATTGAATCGACCATTTGACACCAAGATAAGTGCTACAATTCTGAAATGTAGTAAAGTACTTCTGAATTGAAGACGATTATTCCACACATCTTTAAAAGAGTTAGATGCATATTAATATGAATATTCCCTTTATATGAAGTTTACCTGGGAGGGAGAGAGGTCTGCAGGTAGATATTAAGAGGCAAGCAACAACTTCAGTTGTTTAATCTCTGGTTGAATGGACGGGGACTACGGTAATTCAAAAGCGTTATTCTGTTTACGAACTGTGGAATGAAGGGTAGACTATATTTTACACTTCAGAGAGCAAACGTACGGCATGATCAAGATATAGTTGATCTATCGTGATCAGATATATTCAGGTTACAACCAATAACACGATCACCAAATATATTTTGTATTATTTGTATGTGTGTCTAAAAGTCCACAAACCTGAACTGAGCATAACTTGCATTTTTGGACTGGGGGAATTGATAAACTACTTAGGACAATACTCGTTCAATGCGATTACCTGCAATCATCACGGAACAAACAAATAAATATCCAGCTTCGGCCAGCCGTAGCCATAGTGGCAGTAACCACTGATTAGGGTGCAAGATGTGATAATACCTGATATGTCTGACCGCTATCATCCGATGTACATTCTCGAAACGTAACGTAGCTGCGACTCCGCTCGACTGAAACAAAAATTCCGACAGTCATCTGAAAGTTAATTAGTTAATAAATTAAGGTAATGCATAATGTATAAGGGTTTTCATTAAGTTTTAGAATATCCCGTATGTGTAGATACATAGTATTTCCAAAACACAAACTGTATATTATCTTTAGGCTATGTTTACTTTCCATTTCAAATTATTATCCATTAGAATAATGAGTAGAAAGTTGTAATTAGTGATCGTACGAATGTGTAGTGTAGATGGAACATAATCGCGACCCGACTCATTCTCGAATTATACACGATATTTCGTAAAGGATATCCATAATTTTAATATCTTTTCGTTAAAATATATATTAAATACTTATTTATGAACAGATATTATGTATTTAAATTAAATTGAGTAAAAATAGTTTTAATTAAAATTTACATTTTGTGTACGCTCGTGCAAAAATTAAAGGAATGAAGCTTGAACTTCGGACTAATAAGATTAGCGAGTTATGAATTTTACAAACTATGTGATCTCCCCCCCCCCCTGTCCGAAAAATTAATCCTTCTCTCAAGAGGCCCTTAAAAAACACTGATTTTGTCACGTTTTGTGTAAAACGTATGCCTCCCTACAGGTTTATGTTCCAAAAACTTGTTACTGGGTTTTCTGCTGAAGATATTCGTTGTTATTCCCTCATACCTAGTATGCTAGATTCTGTAACTCAATGACCCAGCCTGCGTTCTCGAAATGTCAATTTAGGGCGTCAAATCCACCCGGAAAGTGTATTGACCTAAAATGTTAAGTGAATTGTATGTCGCGTACTGTTCGCATTTCATGTGTAGTATGTTACATCCAATCCATATTGATCAGTTTGGATTAATCCCAATTCAAATATAAGGCCTAAAGCTTTCTCTGACTAGATGCCGAGAGTTAAAATTTCACTGTCTACTAGTTTCCATATTTGTTGCTTCGGGCAACGTTGAATTTTCTTTCGTACTAATTTTATAACTGTTGCGTTTTTTTAAATATGCATTGTGTCAATACCTCAGGGAGAACATACGCGGAAGATTCGTTTGCATCAAATTGACACTCCTGGTGACAATTCTAGCCTTCACGAAATCGACATTGGAGCGGGCAATTCGACATTCGAAGTAATTAAATCTGCGAGAATGCGAGGTCTCGAGGTACGTAGAGTAGCTACAGGCACATGTGGGGGAATACAGTGGTGTGCACGTGGGAGACGAATAGCGGTGAAGAGGAAGGGAGTGAAAATTTGAGAAATAACAGCAAAACCCCCCCACATAAAATATACCTAAAACTCAACGAAAATACGACCTCAATACCTGATCCACGTCTGCTTCCAACCCCTTTTTTACATACAAATATACGCGATATGAGCCTAGAGAATGAAGCTCTATGTGCGTGATTCGGTCAGTAATTGATGTTGTAATTGCAGTTTGCACGGGACAAGGTTTGAATAGTGCAGCCTTATACCATGCCATTGTGTAGATCTCTGTCTACGACCCCAAAGTGCTCGCGGGAATGTACGAAAAGGTTTCCGGCATGATGTTCAGAGAAAGATCCAGTGACGTTCGTTTGTAAATGTTATGCTCAAACACAAGCCACACTCACCCACAACTCTCATCTTTACAATATTGAAATAACAAGCGTGAAAAATACTCAAAAATTATGACTGGCTTGTTTTGTAACAAATAACCAATACTCGTGTTATAGATATTTAATGAACGTATTATCCCTTTTGGGAGAAGCCGATTTGTAGTAAGTTTATCCGCGAAACAGAGTCCTTCTTCAGAAGATCTCTGCAGTGTCACGTAGTGCAGTGTTTCTTAACCGGGGGCCCGCATATACCTTAAGGTTCGCAAGTTGTGCGTAAGTAACAAAGGAGTTAAGTAGGTCTTACTCAGTAGAATAGAAACTAGTGATACAAAATTTTTTGTTTTTGTGATACGTTTATTTTATCACTAATCTCCTTCTCGTACCTTCGTGCTTTGTTGCTATGTACGAGGGCCACTTCAAAAGTAATCCACCATTTTTTTTTTAAAAAATCAATTTTTATTTTACAACTTTGCTATTATCTCAGTGTATAGGTACAACCTTTATGAACAAAATGCTACTTTTCAACGTAGTCTCCGTCTCTCCCAATTTGCCTTATTATCATTTATACTAGATGTTGCCTTCTTTAATTCACTAATTCACATTTAGTGAGTTAAGCCGAAGAGTAGAAACAAAGAGACAATTGGCGGGGAGAAGTAAAAAATAATTTTAAATGCTTTTGATTCCTGATGTTCGTTTGCAAGATTGATAAAGAAATTATAATCAACCTGACGTATAATATTTTTTTTGGATATTATGTACGTTTCACATAATTGTCGATTACATCTCTCTAAATATCCGAAATTACTAGAGGCTATGATCATTATTTACAAATAGAAATAAAATAAAAATTCCACACCTCCGAGGCAATATCCTTCATTATCACAAAGCAATTATAATTGCTGTTGAAATATATTAGCTTTAAGGACAACTCGCCGGTTGAAGGTTTTATCGTTTTTATTAACTAAGCACTAAATAATTTAATTTAATATTTTAGTACGTTTCAGAAATGTAAATAGAGGAAACCTTAAGAAAAATATTGCAGCCATTGAAAAAATATAAAACATTTGAGAAAAATGCACATTAAGGGGATTCATAATAAATACGACTACCCTGGTTATTATTCATCTCGATATTATCCAGACACAACGTTTCTGATACACTATTTTCGTCTTCAAGTGTCAAAAGGGGAGGTGGTCCCTATTCAACTGGGTCTTTTAAACGACGGTCTGAATTTCTCCAGAAAGAAGATAGAAAATTTGTTCATAATTTTATTTGAAACTGAATGGAGGAAAATAAATGTGGCAGGCTTTTGTGGGCAGTGTAATGAACTTTCTGGTTCAATAAAGGGACCACGCAAATATTTCTAAACATTCTAGTTACTGTGGATTCAGTCCAAAGATTACCTCGCTAAAATAAAGATATAAGTTAAAGAAGGCAGTATCTAGTATAAATAATAACCGCATGTTATGGTAAGCGGAAAAGATGTGCTGGGATGGAGGGATAATTACAGACAAAAAAAATCTGCTGCAAAGGGTTAATGATGCTATGTAGGATGTGTTAATAATAATGCAGCACGGGATGAAAAGTATTTGGATGTTTATAAGTTCTTTTGAATTCTGTAATGAACCTTCGAGTCCTATAAAAGCCGGTTAAGTTCTTGACTAGCAAAGTAATTAACTTCTTAGACGGGACTGTGCTGTATGAAGTTATATAATAAAGTAGGTTGCTAATTACATATTTTCATTAACAGAAGAGATTAAATAAGAGACCATTCAGAAACAAATCCTGAATGTCGCGACATGCCAGTCCATGCTTCTAGTGTGTAAGGACGTAAATACAGTTGTCAAGTATTTTCACTGTTTACTCTTTTACCTTTCTTACATTACACATCGTCATGTGAAGTTCCATAAATTCCAAGCTTTCGTCGTTTTATTTAATTTTCGAAAATTGCACACAATACTGATTGGTGCCCTGAAATGTAACTCATAACTCAGAAAGAATTACGACTTTGTCATCACTCATTTTATTTTAAAACGACTGCTTCTGACTTTGTTTAATCTGTAACCTGGTTGGTTGTATAACGTTGCTAAAGCATCTACGCGGTTCTGTTTCGTCTCATGAGGTCGTGGCTTCGAATCCTTGTCTGTTATGTTTTATTAACCTGCTCTCTTTACAGCCTGTTACTGCTGTTACTAATAATAACAATAATCATCGAAACAGTCATTACTCACTCATATTTTAATTTCTGAAATTTCGAATGATAATTACACATCATAGGTGGTGGCTGGTTTTCGTTGGATGTGTTGGAGTTGTGAAGATACGAGCAATATTTTATCAGGTAGGGTTTCAGGTTTTCATGGCGTCGAGTACGTAGATGGCTGTCTTCTGGGTTGTAGCTATCTACGTACAAGTCAGCACGACGTTTCTGCCTATAAAAGCAATTTCAAGAATCATTTCAGCTTCGTAACTAGATGTGAGTGAGTGAGTGATTAATCTGGTAGCTTTAAGCTCCATACAAAGGTGTGCAGTCTGTTCTCGAAACTTTTACAGAGACTGAAATTGATAAGAAAGTCCTCTAATGTTTTTCGGAGCAAAGTTCAAATTTTGGGAGACCTGAATTCTGATCAAAATCCGTTGTTCACAAACTTTATTTAATTTTATTGTATTTATTCTAAGGTAAGATGATTTGGTCCATTTTAGATTATTCTTAAGCCGTACAGTATTATGTTCCAAACATGTCAAGAATTGTTTCGTACAAATCGATCATTTACTCTTCTTAAGTTTGTAGAAAAATTTATTGTTAAAATATTAAGTGTTGTAGGCGCATTAAAACTGTGATTAACATGCTAGACACTGTTACAGAGTTAAGTCTTTTAATAATGTTTAAGACATTTTTGGTGTTTCTTCTGAGAACAAAATGAAACCAATAAGGTTAATCTGTAAGTTACATATCGAGTTAACAGACATTAAAAATGGCGGTAAACGTACTTATCACTACGGCGTAAGGGATTAAATAATTTTTTCTCCAACTTAGGAAGTTACTTAATATTTAGTATCTTCGTATTGTATATTTTCTTCTCGTTTTTATTAAGACAACAAAATTATCTTTTATATCTATTAACTTTTGTGTAATGGCACTGCAATTTTCTGGATAAAGACGCTGTGTAACTACACCGTACTTATTTGAAAATTCCCTTATAAAGTTTATAATTGAATCCCAACTGAAGATTGTAAAACTTGGTTTTTATTTTCACTATGGCGTATGTAACAGTTTTTATTAATACTAATTAGTTAATATCAGTTACTGAAACAGTGAAATCTGTGTTACATGTAAAGAATTTCACAAAATTTCCGTTAAAGAGAATGTTAAGTTTAAAAGTTGTTAAATGTTGTTTTCATAGGAAACAGATGTGTTTAGTAATGTAGCCTGTCTTTGACTAGAAACCAAAAGTGTATGTAGATTTTAATTTTAAGTAAACTTACGTCGACGTGTCATATGCAGCATTTATGTGGTGTTGAACGATGAATTTGAAGATTAATGTGATTGAGAAGGTGCTAGCAAGAAAGTGGCTTGTTGAAGACTACATTAAGTTACTACTTCCATTCATTCTTGTTTTTGTCTTTTTCATCGTCTGTGTTGTAAATCTTAAAAGTATTGAAATTCTAAGGGTCACCACATCTCAAGGACTCGATTTTCGTTTGTTTTTATGTATACAAGGGGTGAGAGAGATACGTATTCTGTTGCATTTGGTATAAAAATTATTTCCAGTAAGTAGGTAATTGAGCGCTTGGTTCTCAGGCCTATAGAGTCTTATATGAGTTGGCAGGACTTTGTTCTCAAGAGGTAATATATGACATTTATTCTTTAAAAGCTTTATGAGAGACCATGGATTAAGTCTAAAAAAGTATTTAGAAGCCATCACCCCCAAATTTACTTGAATAATAAACTGAAGTTACCCGCACCGACTTTGCTGAAATGACTTACGGTAAATGTTACATTTCTCAACAGATCAAAATGGGAATATATTATGTAAGATTTCAGGTTTTCACAGCGGTGAGTATGACGATTTCTGTCTTCTGGGTTGTTACGCTGTGTAGTCTGGTCGATGTCTACCAACGTTTCAGAGGTCATACTGCCTCCGTCATCAGGGCGATGAGTATGAAGATTTCTGTCTTCTGGGTTGTTGCGCTGTGTAGTCTGGTCGATGTTTACCAACGTTTCAGAGGTCATACTCTCTCCGTCATCAGGGCGATGAATATATTAGTATATATTATATATTAGTATATATTATATTATATATATATTAGTTTTCTTAAACAAAGAGACAATAATGAGCAGTGATTTGACATAAATTGTCGTGAAAATGCAACACATTTCGCTGTCAGGAACCTGAATATTGTTTTTGGTAAAATAAATTTTATAACTACACTGTGACTGTCGCTCTTCGAGCATAGTTTAACGGCCGGGGACCCGCAGGTTACGTGTTTAAATCCCGCCAACGGAGATAGGAATCCGTGCGAGTAGCGTCAACATAACACAAAATAATAACGTCGCTAGCTGCACATTAACCAATTATTATTTAAAATAATTAATTTTCTGTACTTTTTCCATCGTCTGTTCTTTGAAATCACGACGTTTCGGAGGCTGGTTTTGTCACCGTCTTCAGGTGAGAGGTACCTACTCTGTTGGGTCCGTTAGATAGAGAGACGTCGTGATTTTAAAGAACAGACGATGGTAAAAGTCCTGACAAATAATAATTTTAAGTGTAAACTACCGTCGTCAAAAACCTTTGGAATTGAACCATCTACTAGTCTAACATATTAGCACAATACTTATCGGTCATATATGGTTTATCGATGCTGTATTAGCTTCGGTTAATATTCATCCCCGAATGATACGAGAAGATTACAGCTTTTGGTGAACTTGAAAATAATTTAGAAAGTGGCAATAGCCTATTTGAAGGTACTAATCTAGCATTTGTCTACAGAGAGGCTCAGATTCAAACCTCCTAAGTCACTGCTTCTCAAACTTCTTTCTTTCATTACCCAAAACTGCTTATCAGAAATGTAGATAAAACACTAACTTCACAGAAAACATGTATGACATGTGAAGAGAGATCGGTAAGAAGTAGGAAGCAAACAATGTCTTTATTTTATACATCTCTAAACATTTTAGCAGCCACAAAAAATTTGGTAATTATTCACCATGAATATTTCCCAGCTAATGAGTATAATGCCACTGCTCCATCATATTTTCTAGTTCGGCAAAATTATTAAAATTTATTAAATAGCAAATAAATACTTGTTAGACTGTTTTAGAGTATCGGTCCACAATGACTGATCGCTTTCTTCAGAATACTTCTTCTACACTTTTACTGTAAATTTTAATGTATATTCCGAGGTGTGTCGTTACCCAAATAAAAACTATTTTTACCCCTTTTTGGGTAATTTATCCAGGTTTGGGAAGCACTGTCCTAAATGGTTACTACCCGATCAAGTTTGATCCGTCAATGATAGGCACAAAACTTTGTATAGATGATAAACTATAATATTACTATTATATGAAAGTTAAATATTTGAAACGTATACACATGTGGGCCAAACAGTCTGTTAATTTTGAAGATGTGTATTATTTTTATCTTAATGTCTGGCCCAATCCACGCCATTTATGAGAAGTAACTTAAATAAAATGTTACATTTGAATTATAAGACATATAATTTAATAAATAATGTAGTGGTAGGCCATTTGTTTTTTTATTTAACAGTATTACGTCAATGAAAGATATGCTGGAGGTCTATGTATGCACTTGACTTCGTATTTGGTGACAAATTATATTTTGTCATAACTTGTGAATGATATTACTTCTTTGACGGACATAAAAGACGAAAGATGAAAGTAACACCTAAACCTCTTTCATGTCTATTGGAACAGTCAGCTCCATGTTACTTCAGCTGCGTCTTTCTGCGCCGGTATTGTGACTGTTATATGTACTTTTATATATGCCCAAATCCAGGAATTTTCCATAAATATATTTGGCTTTTTAGGGTGATTCCTGATTAAATTATTTCCTTTTTGGAACAAATACAACAGTTGGTTTTCTTGGAAACAGCATTTACATAGACTCAATGTTATTGTTATAATGCCTGATTTCTGACAGGAAAAGTGTAAAGTTTGTACTGTTTTAACTGCGTTTCCATTGCTACAGAGGTTTTAAGTATTTTTGTATCAATATGTGCGTCTCATAATACAAACATATGAGATGGAGTGAAACGTAAAAGTTTGGTTGCAATAAAATATTTAGATAGAAAATATGAAATAATATTTAATGAGTATTTGTAATGGTATTTTCGTACGAATTTCCACCACAATTTTATTCAACAAATTCGAGTAGGACTAATAACGATACTTAAGAAGTAGCGCCTTTTATATATAAAATTAAAATATTAGAATTAAACTATTTTTACACGGCTTAAAATTGTAATTTTACAGTTTCGAGTAGATTGTCTCTACAAATAACAGCTAATAACATAATTTATATTGATTTATACACATTATCTGTAGCTGTACGTAGTCTTACATTGAACGAATTTACATATTTTAAAATTTTCAGTAAATAGTTTTTGCATAAAACGTAATTGGCTTAATAATGTTCACAGTTTCAATAATGTCAAAGAATGACAATTTAAGCACCATATTTTATAGATGCTTGTATCACCATCGGATTTTTGTTGATATTTTTCAATACGGAACAAGAATTGCACTGATAATCTGAAGCATTCTTCAGTTCAGTAATTTCTATATTAATATGCTTCATCTTGTATCTAAATTGTGCCTGTGAGTTTTACTATTGATAGTGAATTAATAACAAAAGACTTACGGTTTATATGTGGGGTGAGAAGCTTTATCATGCGACGTAGAGATGCGTCGTTTGATGATAATTGCGGATAGTTAGAATGCCGAAATATTAATGGTGGATAGTGCTCTAAGAAAAGATTATCAGTATCGTTGTGATCACCAATTATTAACAGAGAAATTAAATAAACGTTTCTCAAAGCAGAAATTTCTGTGAAAGAGAAGTTGTAACCTACCCATTGAAAGTCACACTTGTGCATTATCTGAATGTACATTTGATATTGTAGATCAGAAATAGCAGCATAAAACACACTATTGTCACTATGATAGAATTACCATTCGCCCGAATCGACAGCAATGTGACAACCGCCCTACTGTACGTAGTGGCTGAATATCGACTGGAGGGATCTGTGTTCGAACCACGTCCGGATAACTTATGGATGGTTTCATCGTCATTATGGCCTCATTATCGCTGGATAGAACCACACTGGTTGCGTTCATTATGGCCACATTACCTTTGAGTAGGACATCAGCATGCAGGCAAAACGGAAATCAACAGTTGAACATCTCTCTCGTAATTTGTGTTGTTTCAAATATTTTTTAAGTGATACTTCCATTATACAAAAACTTTGACACACTGAAATGACCGTGTACCTTGTTTTACTAGGTCTGGTGATTTTAACGAACGATTGTACACGTAGAACTAACAAAGTTTCTTAAAAAATTAAAAGAAAACTTTCCAAAATGTTTGATATACGTTCATTCGCAAGTCTTCTGAGAAGGAAGAATAAGTTACTTTGTCAGAATACTAGTGACATAATTTTAAATTATTTTACATTTTATACACATGATATTTCAATGTAACCTTTTAATCGTTTCAATTTACAGAACAAGCACATCGGAGCCCGAATGCTGAATGTTCCACCCATATCAGCAGTTTAGAGCTCACGTAATGTAGACTAATAAATACGATACAGAAAAGCGATATTATTTATCGGCACTTTTTCCGATATCGATATGCAACTATAAAAAGAATTCAACACTACAGACTCATTTACTGAACTCTGATTAATAATTTGTCGTTTAGAATAAACTCATCTAGTTTGCTGTTACATGGCCCTTTCACTTTTATTTGCCTTACAACGATGTTTCATTTTCAGTGTTGCTCTCCTAGCCACATATATAAGTGTTCTAAAATTCTTATTTTTCATTTTGTTTCGACACATTGCAGGTGAAAAACTAAATCTACTGAGTGGACTACTATCGCCTCGATAATACAGGATGATTCAAAAGTTATGACCAAACTGAAGGAGCGTATAGAGCGACTCAGAGAGAACAACTTTCGAATAGGAATCCACGTCCTCCGAAGTTATCCTGAGCCAGTCGAGGCCATTGAAGGTAGGGAAGTCTGATAACTTACCGCTGAAATAATCGTACTTTGCTACTCTCCTACTAGCTTAATTTTGTTTTTTATTAATGTACAAAGATTACATTAGCAATCTTACAAACCAAATTATTTCAACCTTACCGCTTACCCTTCTCATAATTGCACCGTCGTAATTGTGTCTAGCAAAGAGTAGAAATTACAAAGTTGTTTCTTAATTTTTATTATGCGTATTATATCTTTCTACTCTGTATAATTTAGTTTCTATAGACTTTCGTATCATTTAATGGATTTATCATTTAATATACCGCTATAAACTACACTTATACGTAATATGAAGTACATAATTATAAAATGAATAGTCTTTTATAGGAACGAAATTTAGGGTCAACCGGTATGTTAGTAATCTTTTGAAGATGTGCGGAATGGATCGAAAGTTGATATTATGATGTCTACGAACACCTACAGAATTTATTGTGAGTAAATTATATTGTGGTAGTGTTGGTCTAAGCGAAGTAATTAAATGAGAAAAGAAGAGCAAAATTTATTTTCCCAGAATCTAGTTACTTAACAATATTCTCGAATTTAGCCTACTCTGAGTACGTAATACACATATTTTGGAATACAACCACCGAAAATGCGTAATAATTTTAAAAATAACATTTCATAATGTTTGAGAACCATATCAAAGTATTCCGACTGGAGCATTTCATGCAGAACACGCGTGTATGCGAACGAAAACTTAACGATGCAAAGATCTAAAAAATAACCCGCTTTTGCTATTAACTAAGGCGGTGACATGAATGCGTAAAAGCGTCGATGCACCATACGCTACAGACGCCTGGGACTCACACTGCACCGTGCAGTTACTGGTTGTGTGCACAATCGAACATGGCATCCAAGTTAAAATGTAGCGACAACATATAATAACTGCACAGTGGGTTCTTAAGTGCGTTTCATTCATGTAATCAAACACGCAAGGAAACGTCATACGCATCTATGTTATAAGTGAACTTCCATATATCCTGTGTTGAAGACAAGTGGTGTTAGACATAAATTGTCACTGTATGTACGACTAATAATCTAATTTTGTAATTAAACAACACACAGCAGCTTAGATGTCGATGTTGTCTTCTCGTTTGTAGCACTGTGTGGAATTTAGGTAGATACCAAGGATTCGGAAGAACTTACCGCCTCCATTTTAGGACGTTGCAATCCATATGGGATCCATGATATTGGTATTATGTTGTTGTCACGAATAACACATATTTATTGGAAGAGAATCGGGGACAGTTCCCTTATTTATTTATGGATTATTAGAAGTATTTTATACTATTATGTTCCAACGTACAATTACTGATCCACCAAAATTCGCATAACCAAACTTATATCTTAATTTAGGCTAATTTTCTTGTTTGAAAAGTTGATATTACGGGGCATGCAATGTGGATAAGAGAGATAAAAGACGCTTGAAAAATTTTAGTAGGAAACCTTATGTGATCATGTGGGAGATCTGGAATTAAAATTGATAAAGAATGAAGCACTGAGTTTGCAGTAATGACAGAGTTTATATAAGTATTTGTTGATATAAGTCTTGTTGTTTTGTCCTGGTGTATTATGCTGCCTAAACATACGAAATAAACATTGCATGGCGATATTATTACAGCCAATCACCAGAAAACTAATGAGGAAAGACGTCACTGAAATTTGTCTATAATAATTATACTTGGATAATTGGACGACCCGTTCTTCAAGTGCCTGAGCACTGCGGGTCCCAACTTTTCGTTGGCTTTATCTATAGACATTCGGTAGGACTCCTTGGACGAGGAATCGGCCCGTCGCAAGGCCTCTACCTGTACACAGGACAGCACAACACAGAAAAACCCAGACAAACATCCATGGCTTGAGTGGGATTCAAACCCACGGTCCCAGCGACCAAGCGGGACAACGCCCACGCCTCAGACCGCGCGGCCACTGCGGACCCATAATAATTATAACCCGTAGATTTTACGATGACCAACAAAAATACATAAGGACAACTAATAAATATTTTTTAGAATCATTAATACATTACAGAGAATTGTTTATAATGAAGGAATTCGCATACATAGATAGGAGAAAAACCGAAAATGTGGTACTTCCAAAATATATTACAGGTATGTTTAAAGTCGTTTCTGATCACAGTAAAATACGTAAGGTTGTGCCATTCTAACACTAAGATCATGGATTTGAATGGTACTTTAAGGCATGATGTATGTCCGCGTTTTTCTCTGTTATACGTTTGTGAGTACATACCTTCTAACGAAATATTTGAAGTGATTCAGCATTCAGTCTAAGAAATGCCCTCCGCGGGCATGAACACATTCGTCGCCACGACAATCAAAACGAATTTGGAACTTGCTCGAAAACCCTACCTGCTTTCTGCATCCGCATTTTCGGATTGTTCTTGCTTTCGGAGAGTTTTCATAACATATGTAGTTAATATAATCTTCTCTCCAACTTCTGTCTACGTCAGTTGTACTGAGTATTTGAGAATCGAGTCATTTAAGTTGAGATAAAAGGATAAAGATTTAAAGGAACTGAGACACGTAAAATAATGTTAAGAAAATGAAAATACTGCGTTCATTGTAAATTCATTAGTTTACTTTCGCGTCTTCTGCATTGGTCCTATGAAATTTGTAATTTTAGTTTGAGAAAAGAAATTATCTAGTGACTAAGGATTGAACGATGCATTAATTCAATTTCGCTTTTATTTTAATGTTAAACTGATAATGACTTCAGTGACGGGCAGTAAACGCTAGTGGGCACAATGAAATTAGTTACTACTGATGCACAGAATGTAAGCTTGTGTGTGAGGTACGCAAAGAAAATGAAGTTCAATTTCACAGGTTACTTATGGCGGTAAAAAGGGAATGTTCCTTCTTGTAAAAACATTCTCAATCAATGACAAGTATTTCCAATAATATTACTGATATTAATTATACTGTTCACAAGATATGAAATTGAAATTACTTGGAAATATTTCTAAATATTTTTTAATGTTATAAGCTTCGTGAACGATTTGTGGATGTAGATAATTACCTTGAACACATTGTCAATATCTCACACTTGACGACTAATGTAAGATGGCAATAAATTTCTCAGTTTCTAACATTAAAGAGTGGATATTTCTCTGAAATTTCGGTGTGTACCTGTAAGTCCAAACGGCGATACAAACTAGAACAACGCTGACAGCTTCACAGCCGTGAGAACCTCAGATTTCTGTCAGGTTATTGTGTACCTCTCATTTTGGGGTTCAGTTGTCACGTGCCAATGAGTCAGTACAACCAACCACTACGTAAACAATAAATTAAGCTACAATGCTTATTGTCAATTGATCCTAGCTCCACTGATAACGAACTACACTAAAATCTTGACATGTTCAGAAAATACCTGACTTATATTTATACACACTCTAAAGGATATTTTTGTGCAATATTATATTAACTCTAGCATTAAAAGCATTTTTGATATTGTTTACACATTATTTTAATTTAAGCGTTCTTTCAGAACACTCAGTTTTAGAAAATGGCTGTCTTCTGGGATGTTGCGGCACGTAGTCCGTTAGACGTTTACTGACGTTTAGGGAGCTCGCCCTGACAGCGCCACAACATTCCAGAAGACAGTCAGCTTTATAATAGACGCGGCGATAACCTGAAA